GGTGCTTAGTTTTATTTGGCTTGAGCAAGGAGTTCAATCCACACATTAGCTGTGGGGCTGTTTTGCACATTCCACGAACAGAAATGTTGGCACTTACAGGCTGTGGTGGAGGGCGAGTCTCAGAGAGGCATTCTCTAAATGGTGAATTTAGGCACTGTTTGCCTTCTGCCTCCTTCACTGGAGGTTTTCAAGAAGAGTCTGGATAAACATGTGTCTGGGATAATTTAGGAACGGCACAGCCTGTGTTGGGGAATAGCAGGGGGTGGGACTAGATAACCTTTGATGACCTTTCCAATTCTCTGATGATATAGCCCCAAACTGGCCCACTGTTGTCCAGCACATCAGTGTATACTTATCAGGCACAGTGGGAGTGTCTACACATGCGTTAATATGCTTTAGTTAATGTGCATTAAATCTAATACCTCTGGGCATTTATACGCATCCTTTTTGCCCCACGATGAACCGGAGATCTGGTGGGTTGGAGAAAACTCGATTAATTGAGTCTGGTCCGCACAGGACCTGACGTGAACTGCTTTGCACCGCATGCAGTTGTATAAGCGGTGAAATGTGCAACAGTGTGCAGAAAATGGCAGCAATGCACTTTTGAACTAAAACGCATAGTGCACTGCTGTGCCTTTCGCCACTTATGTGGCTGTATGCACTGCAGCGCAAGCATGTGTACAAATGCCCTCCAATGTGAGGTACTGGAAAAAGGTGTATTAGCCTATTTTAATGTGTATTAGTGAAAGTGTGTGGGGTTTTTTGTGATGCTTTAATGCATGTTAAAATAGGCTAATGTGCATTAAAGCGCACATGTAGATGTGCCCAGTGTGGTGGGTAAGGGAAGTCAAGGGCCCTATTTCTCAGTTTGTCTAGCTGTAACATAAGTTCCTTTTTTTTTTTTTTTTTTTTTTGGTAGACTTTGTTTAAGCAAACTAGTCCTGCTAAGTGCTCTCTGGTGGAATAAAGATTTGTACATAAACCAGAATATCTCTTTATCTTGATCAGCTCCACATCTGAGATGTAAACCCGTTTGTCCAGATGAATTCAAATATCATACTAGAACTGTTTTATACATCTGGTATCACCTCTTGAACTGAACTCCTACATTGTTCATATTTAGGAATAGGGCATAGAAGATAAACATCAGAAAGGTGCCATACTTTTCTGTCTTCCTGAAGAAAACATGACTAGGGTAAATTGTGACTGGAGAAGGGATACATTCAACCCCCACTCTTTCCCCATCTTATCCAAATGATACATCTAACATTAGACTTGGAGTTTGTTAGGCATCGATTTTCAGTAGTGAACAGATCCACAATGTACCTTCACATCACTGTTTCTATGAGTAGGACCTTTGTCAGCTTCAGCAATCATCTTGTTAGCAGGAACAATATACCCTGAATCCCTTCCAGCACTAGTAACTTTGCCTCTTTCTTTTCCCTTTAGTTAAAATGGTTGCTGTAAAAGGCCAGACTAAGGGCTCATTGCTGTTCATGCTAATCCTTTGATTTTTTCAAGTTGGAATCAATAAAAGTTTAGAATACAAAGATAGCTCTCAGTTTAACTGAGGAAGTTAGCTACAACTAAAGGGTTATAAAGATGTTGTTTAGCTTTGTTTCTGGAAAGAGAAGGCAAACTGAGTTGGCATTTTTCCTTTTGGTACTTTCTAACTGGGCTTAAGTGACAGCAGCATTCACGACGGCTAGCTTCACTTTCTCAGAGAGTTTTCCCCACCTGCCAGCACTGGAGCTATCACAGGGTGGGGATGGCTGGAGGCAGGGACCTGCACCTGGTGCTAGAGATTACAACATACTCCTTGCTATTGGCAGCTGGCCATAGGCTGCTCCCTAACAGAGCAGGGTATCCTGTGCTTGGGTGCAAATAGTTGAGCAAGGAGCCAGCTGTGATGGAGGCACTCTAAAATCATGCTGCTGGACAGCACCAGAGATGGGGGAGCCAGGAAACAGCTTTGATAGACTGGGGAAATGAGTTTTGCTAAAACTTCCTTCAGTATCAGGGCTGTCCTGTACAAGGGCCACCAGTCAGCCCAAGCATTTCACACTCCAGCTGGGCTGCAAACAACACGATCCAGTTATTTTCATTCTACCATTTACATTCACCACTGGTGTTTGACAGTCCGCCTTTGTCTGGCAATGCAAGACAGCAGCCAAGACTGCTCTTCTTTAGCTGTGTGATTATAGCTAAAACTTGGCAGAAAAAGCAACAGTCATGATGCTAATATTTAAGCATCTCACCAACATTTCTTCCTAACAAATTCACAAAGAGCTGTTGAATTTGTTGTGCTAATACTAATGATAAAGATGTTACCTCTTGGATATGATTTAAGTAGTCAGGATAACTGGATATTACTAGTTTATACCCATGGTTGTGCCTAAAACAAAGTCATTTCTCTGAAATGTGTTTCTTTCCTTTCCTGCCTTCTACTCCCTCCTCCACTTACACACATGGTGCTGCTCCTTTTATACATGACTGCTATAGTTTGCATAAGATCCTTGGAAGGTGACTTCTCTGTCCCATGATGTATGAACCAACCTCTCGTATCCGCTCCTTCATTCTTTCCTCACACAGGACCTAGGTTCTCCAACCATAGAAGAGCAAGTGGATCAGTCTGCAATAGATGATGAAACAGTCCTTATTGTTCCCTCATCACATGGTTTTATCCAGACATCAGATGATATAGACAATGAATCAGTCTTACCTCTGACAAGACTAACAGGTAACAGTCTCTCTTAATGCAGTTGTGCTCAGGGGTCAGGATTCTTCTGTTCTTCACAATCAGTTGGAGCTTGGTATAGCATTACCTTATTCTTGAAATCTCCTTGTAAATTGATTTTCATATAAGCAAGATGGCACAAGATGTATTTGGAAACTGCTGGTCAGTTAACATTTTATTTGGGTTAACGGAAAGAGAATGACATCTCTCTGCTCTTCAGTCCAGAGGTATTAGTGGCAGCCTCTCCTTGTTAATGGCCTTAATGTTTCACTAATCAAGCTAACCTTTTCTTACCACAGGGTTGTTGTCTTTTGCTGCTCCTGGTCTCTCCTCCTGTTTCACAATCCTGGAGACTTTATCTCTTTTCAGAATTAGAGATCTGTAGAGACCAGCCTCCAGGAGCAGCAAGGGTTTCAGCTGGCAGAGTGAGTCAGCTGAAGATTAGGCTATGTTTTTAAAAGTATCTATTTTTAGATAAAAATTACTCCAAGTAGTTCAAAGTACTTACACACATTATGAAATATATCTTATATGCACCATTAGGGCAGTACAGTAAGTTATGGGTCCTAATGTAATGTGATTCATTGCAGATCCTATATTGCAACACCATGGAGAAGGATCACACATTATTGGCTCATCATTGGGTAGCCCTGATTCTGAAGACTCCAAGGATGTTGAAGACTTAGTTAGTTGTCACTGAGAAGCAGTAAATCATGTCTGTTTTCTATGACTATGTTTGCATCATGAAGTTAGTTACAGCCCTGTAGCACCTGTCCAAAGCAAGCAGTCAGTCTACGTGGTTAAGAAAAGAAAGCATTGTTTAGTTTGAAATGGCTACAGTGCACTTTTACTGCTCATAAGACTTCTTACCTCATTTGTAAAAGATTACACAGCTGCTTGCAGCCTGGTTTGCTACATTCAGCAAGGCTCTTTTTATTTTAAAGTTTGCAGTACTCATGGCTAGGATCTACTTGGTCAGTCTGACCTGGCTGTTACTAGTGTGCTGGACTTCACACACCGTGAAAACTGGACAGAAGCCAAGGATTGTAGGCCTTAGCTTGTTAGTGCAGCAACAAGAATTAGTTTGCACACCTTTCATGAAGAATGAAGGAGGATTTCTGCACTTACTAAGACTAAAAGACTCTACATTCAGGAAGAAATGTATTTGAAGATCACCCATCAGGGATGGCATGGGCAGCATCATTCAGGAGTGGTGTGTTCTCCACTCACTTGACTTGTCAGTACTTCCCCAGGGTAGGATCCTAGTTGCAGATGCTCTCAAAGTTGTCCTGCTCTGCTTGTTCCTGAAGAGTCCATTGCTGGCAATGGATGTAGTTGCAGAAAGGGCAGATGTGGAAGACTTTTTTTTAAAGAAATCACTACGAGTTCAATAAAAAAGGGAAATCTTATGAAAAGGGAAGCTATTGAAGTCCACCAGCATCTCCCAGAAACCCATGGCCTCTGGGGAACGTTGCAGGTAGAGTGGAATGATTGCTTGCATAGCAATACACTCCCAGCACACTACCAGCCATCTCTTCAGAGGTGAATTATGCAGCAAGCAAGCTCATACTTAAGGGAGGGAGGGAGGGAGGGGAAGTGGCAATGAGGCAGTGGTGCCCTTAGCAAGGGTCTTGGAGGGGCAGGTCAGTGACTGCTTGGGCCTAGTTCCCCAATGCAAAGAAAACCGATTCTTTCCTATACTTGAGTGTTAAGAGACACTAGGCTAAAAAACAGCCTTCTGCGTGGGGTGGGAGGTGGGAGAAAAAAAATAACTATAGAAATGAAAGACGCGTGTATAAATTATTTTATTTATTTCTGTAATTAGCTCTTCATAATCAGAGCTCACCTTTCAGTCAGTGGTTTTGTTAATGTGAAATTAAGTTGTAGTTTCAAAATGGATTGCCTAGGGAACACAAATAATTGTATATGCCGTTTAAACAAAAATAAAGAGTATTTGTCTTAGGTAACTGTAAGATGCTGTTTGTTTCTAGTGTCACAGATCTGTGCAGTGGTGCAGTTCTTATGTAGTCATAAAAAATGCAGGGGGGTGGTTTTCAAAATGAAAAAGCTTGTGCCATTTGGAAATGTCAGTGCAACTGGAATGTCCATCAAGTGCAACAGCAGCTCTTTAAAAAAAAAAAAAAAAAA